TTTTCGTTGTTGTTGTTGTTGGTTTTTTTTTTTGTTTTTTTTTTTTTTTGCCCGTTTTTTGAGGACTACCGGTCGCGCGTCGGTGGGTACCCCGCCCGACGCGGCGCGTTAACGGCCGCGCCGACTTTTTCAAGCTGGGCAAGGTACTGGTGGTTTAAGCAGCAATGGTCAAGGCTGCCCAGCCTCGGGTGCTTTTCCCACAGTCGTCCAGATTGAATCACAGCTGAGGGCCCAGATTGTGCAGTTGCAGACTTCTCCCTTGGACCTGTTGCTGTCTGGGTACCTGTTTACAAACAAGTGTGTGTGCTTGACCAGCGGCCTGGGCTAGGTACCTTTGGACTTTGACTGTTGGGATCCCGACGGTCAACTGCCGCACATCCAGGCCCTGAGTCCTCGTGTGGGGTCTTATGCCCCTGTCTCGGCCTGGGCTGAGGGCGACCGAGTTGGCCCTCAGTTTTTCCACGAGACATATGGCATGGGTTATTGCATTACTATTTTTTATTATGAAACGATTTTCACCTTTTTGCAGTCACAGATGCGGGCCCTAGAGTTCGATCCCCAGCCCTCACCTTACCCATGTGGAGTATCGAGTTGACCCCCGAGTGTTTGAACCGTGACCTGTGTTTCGATAGCTGTTTGTTTGTCTGTCGTAGGTCTGTGTAGATGTAGGGGTTCGATCTGTAGGTCTGTTAAGTAGGGGTGATAGCTGTGTAGAGGTCGGAACTGCTAGGCTAGAGGTCTGTAGGTGAGTCGCAGGTCCAACTGCATTGAGTCGGCAGTGCAACCTCATGCAGTCGAAGTTGCCAGTCCCAGTCCTACCGAGTTCGGTCCAGCAAGTACCGTGTGGGACTGTGCACACCCAGGGCCTGGTGGAAAGAGGCAGACCAGCGGCAAACAAAAGTATAAATCAAGAGAAGCGCCCAGCCATTGATACATTCGCTGCGTAAGCGATGCGGAAGCGCTGCTACAGCGTCTTGTGCGAAGGTGGTCTGCAGGTTGCCTGAAGTCGAAGTGGGCTGAAGAGCGAGATCGTAGCCATAGTCAGTAGGGTAGAGCGGCCATAGCCGCGATAGGAAGAAGATAGGTTTAGTGTGTGTGTGTGGTGGTATTCAGGGTGATCCAGAGTTGAGTTTGTGCGAAGGGTGGTGTTGGACACAGTAACGAGAGTTGAGTGCGCAGGCGCTGAGGCGCCATAGTTTGTCGAAGTGATTTTGCATCTGAACTGTGTTCTCGTTTTCCGTATCTCCGAGCTTTGAGTGGGCGCACTGCGCCAAGTGTGAATCACCATCTGTATGCATGTATGCGAAGTGGAAAAGAAAGCGAGTCTGATTGTATCGGAGCTGGTTCCCGTTACCCCACGCACCATAGTTGTTGCCGGCAGGGGAAGCGACGCGCGCCAGTCAGGCGCCATAGTCGAGGTGCACCGAGGGAATTTTGAAGTCCGCCATAGCTGCGCTGCGGAGAGGAGGTGCCGCCTACCTGCATAGAAGACAACGACGAAGAGAGAGAGAGAGAGAGAGAGAGAGAGAGAGAGAGAGAGAGAGAGAGAGAGAGAGAGAGAGAGAGAGAGAAAGAGAGAGAGGAGCGATACAAGATTGTTGTCCGGACCAAGAGAGGAAGTGGCCATAGCGGAGTTCGGACACAGGGTTACTAAGAAGAGGAAGGTGAAGCGAAGGAGAAGGGAGGAGAGACGAAGGAGAGAGAAACCATAGCCGAGGAAGAAGAAAGGGAGGACGAAGAAGAAGAAGAAGGAAGACATAGCCGGGGTGAAGCGAGAAAGAAAGAGAAAGAAGGAAGGAGGGAGAAGGAGGACGAGGACGATTGGCGAGGAAGAAAGGGGTCGGCAGCCATAGCCGAACCAAGGGTTGACTAAGGTGTTGACCGAAGGGTTGACCAACGTTGAGCAAGGCTTTGACCGGAGAGTTGACCAAGCGTTGACCAGCGTTGTTGACCACAAAATTGACCAAGCTGGAGTTGGTATCTTCTAGCCAAGCCTTCAGCCTATCCCCTCGCCCTATGGATGTGCACTCACCCCATGGTACTTGTTGAGTCTGTTTGTCTCTTCTTTCTGCATTGAGTCTCTTCTGTCCAAGTGATAGGAACTCTGTGAATGACGTCATAGAGCTTTGTTGACCAAACCCACATGGGCTGAGTAGGGCTAAAGGTTGTGTCTGACGACTCGACTGACCCGGAGAACACGAACCCTCCCAAGGACTGGTACAGACCGGCGGGCTGCTCGGTGTGGCACAGTAGGCCCAAAATCCGAGTTGTGGGCTGCACAACAAGCTGTCTAAGTCTTGAGAGGACTCGCTGATCGTGTCGTCCTGTTTGCGACGTTAAATAATTCCTGAGGAGTTACGGGGGATCTCCTTAAATGCCTCTTGATCAACAGTAAGTCCGGTAGTGACAGCCTTAGTTTTAGGTCTAGGCTAGAGACCATAGCTGACAGGATTTTACAAAGATTCTGTGGTCCTTAGTTGAGTCAGTTTTAAGTTAAGTTGGTCAGGGGTGTGAGTCTAAGTGGTGAGGAGTGGAACTGACTCTTGGTTGTGCACCTTTCACCATGGTTGACCTACGTAGTGGAAAGAGCATCACCCCTTACACCAAAGCTCAGGAAGAGTAAGCCGCCACCATATTGCAAGAGAGAAAAGAGAAAGAGACCGAGGAGTTAATTAGACAGGCCAAAAGGTTGGCCCTGCAGGAGGAGCAGGCGGCAAAGAGGAAGAAGTTGGAGGAAGAGACGGAGAGATTGAAAAAGGAGGAGGAAGAGAAGACGAAAGCAATGGATGAGGAAGAAATAGAAGAAAAGGAGGAGGAGCCCCTGCTTAGAAGAAGCGCAGGGCAAAGAGGGGAATCCAGTGGCACAAAGAGGGAGGAGTCATGGTTGGAAACGAAAGTTTCTGAGTGGGTAGCAAATTTGTCTATGGGAGAAGAGGAAGAAGCCATGTTGTATGTTCCCCCGGAGGAGAAGGAAGCAGTTATCAGGGAGTGGGAGGTAGAAAAGGACCTCTTGCGACGCCAGGCGATAGAGGAAGAGAGGGAGCTAGAATGAAAGTTGCGTCTTATAAGGGAGAAGAAAAGAAGAATGCAGGAGGCAAACAAAATGGTGCAAGAGTTGGAGGCGATAAAGGCGCAGAGGGCAGAGATTCATGCGCAAACAAATATACAGGGAAAATTGGATGTTATTTTGAGAAACATAGAACTCCTAGCTGGAGCCTGGGACGAGCAACATCACTTTGCTAGAGCCCAGGATATCGCCTTACACTCCATTCGCCTGGGATTCAGGGACTTTGAATGCGAGATGATGTTGCACGTAGGTGCAGAAGTGCAGGCCGGAATAGAGGGCACTGAAAAGTTCTGCACAAGCGCCATTGAGGGTGCAAAGCTGGCCACTCCTAAAGAGGAGGAGGTACGAGAAGGAAGAAAATTTTGATAATTGGGAGGCGAATGTGAATACCTATGTGTATTTGCAAAAGATCGTTGTTGAGGAACAAGTCCTCATTGCATTTCAGGCCCTCAAAGATGAAGCAGCTAGTTTCGCCAGATCACTCGCTCGCGCTGCACAATGAGAAAATAATATGGTAGCCTACTTCAAAATTACCCCTCTCCCTAAATTCTTTAGATTACTCCGAGAGCGATTTGCAGATGTCACGCGAGGCGTCAAGGCCTCTGACAAGCTGCAAACTATCCACTCACACCAATGGACGAGCTAGTGGCCGTCCCAGACCACGGGGTCACTGAGGCCCAGTTGGTCAACCTCTTCTATCGTGCCATGCCAGAGCCC